AATTCTATTACATAATAGACTCTTTATTAAGTTGTCTAATTGGTTTATAATAGATAGATTATCTTGGGCATACTATTTCAGTGGCAAGTATTGCTATGGATAAGTTTAAGGTACAAGTTGTTTTAGATTGGCCTATTCGTACAAACTTGAAACAATTGAGAGCCGTATTGGGATTAACTGATTATTATAGGAGGTTCATAAAAGGGTATATTGTTGTTACTGCTCCTTTAACAAACCTACTAAAAAATATAGTTTTCTTTGGGATGATGCAATTACTACAACCTTTTCCTAAAAATTGCAGTTACTTAGGCATTGGGGTTAGTTTTGCCAAAATTCTCTAAGCCCTTTGTCTTAGAAATTGATACATCTGAAATAGGAATTAGAGTTTTTCTTGGACAAGATCATCATCCCATAGCCTTCTTTTCAAATCCTCGGATGCAAAAAAATCCGCATATACAAGAGAATTTTATGTCATTATAAGGTCATTGCCAAATTTAGACATTACTTGTTAGGTCACAAGTTTGTGATTCGAACAAATCAAAAGAGCTTAAAGTACCTCACTAATCAAGTTGTTCAGACACCCAAGTAACATAATTGGCTGCTCAAACTCTTAGGGTATGACTTTACCATAGAGTATTGTCGCCGCCGTCAAAAGAGGCGGTCGGAGCGACGCGATGGTTTCCGACTTCCAACTCGTGCTTTTAAAGTGGTGTTACAACGCCTTTAGGTTGTTTGATAACCGGGCTGGACCTAAAGGCAAGGTTTTCGAAAAGGATTTTTATGGAGTCGTCACCGATGTTTTTACCAAAAACATCGAAAAAGGAAAAAAAGAAGGCATTGGTTTTAAAAAAACAATTTTGACCATTATAACCAGAGTCAGGTAAGTGAGTTATTTACGCGTGAGGAAGGTATTAACACCTCCCACGACGCCCCTTTCGGGTTCCCTATGATAGATCATTTATTTCATAAGTAAACCTTAAAATGATGCTTTTACCCTTTTATTTACGGAATTAAAAATAATGACTACATGACCCTAGCAGCTAATGCACAAATAAATGTAAAAAAAGCGGTAAAAGAAGGATAGAAAGTATGAAACCTTCAAAGTAAGCTTTCGGTATTAATATTCTTGAAATAAGAAGCTTTTTTGGCAATCCTTCACTCTACAACGTTGTTCGCTCTTCCTCGTAACGCTACAGAATACTATCTAAGAACACTAAGAAAACTCCAGAAGTGCTTTAAAGGGATTTAGGAGAGGAATTTGAGGAAGTTACAAAAGAAACAATTGGAGAATGGTGTGAAAAAAAGGGGGAGCGCGCCCTCTTTTTATAGGGATTTATGCCTGTCAGGTCGAGACGGCTGTCTCGCTTGGCAAGGTCGAGACCGCCGTCTCGCCAAACGGGACGCGCGGTCTCGCCTTTGGCAAATGGCGAGACGACCGTCTCACCCTTTGTTGATGGCGAGACAACGGTCTCTACCTTCTAGGTGGACTTCCTTATTTTTCTGTACAAAAGACCTTCCTATTCTAATTTGGGGCCTTTTGGTCTATCATAAGGACCTTTTTAGGCCTTGTCCATCTTCTAATTGGTGGTCTTCTGTTCTTTATTTTGAGACCGGACAAGATTTGGGGTCAATAAGTATAAGGCCGACAAAGACAATGTAGTTGCAGATTTCTTGTCCAAATCATTCTTTATGGCCTTGTCCCAACCTATATTGCAAATTCTTCCTATTGTGAAGGCAACAATAAAAGCTTATTCACACCTCAAATCCATTGTTGACAGGTGCTTGTGTCATAAATCCCCGAGCCCTTATTACTCTATGCATGATGACCTGCTCTATTGGAAGGCAAATTGATGATTTCATCCTCTCATCCTTTAGTCTAGAAGATATTGCATGATTGTCATAGTTCATGATAGGCGAGCATGGTGGTTTCACAAAAACTCTGGGTAGAATTTTAGCTCAATTCTATTGGCAAGGTATCTATAGAGATGTTAAGGAATTTGTTCAAATTTTTTTAATTTGTTGGCAAACTAAGGTTGACACTACCTTACCTGCGTAGATTTGGGAAGATTTGGTCATGAACTTCATCATTGTCTCCATCTATTGGGTTTACTGTGATATTGGTTGTCATTGATAGATTGTTCAAATATACACATTTTTTTACATTAAAATCTGATTATTCTAGCAAATCAATGGCAAAAATATTCATGAAAAATGTGGTGAGGTTACATGGGATGCTTAAAATAATTGTATATGATAGAGACACAATGTTCACTAGCCAATTTTGGCAGTAACTTAAAGTTGAGTGAAACCTTCTTCATTATGTCCACTGCATATCACCCACAATCTGATGACCAATCTGAAATACTAAACAAGTGTCTAGAAATGTACCTCAAATGTTTCACATATGATTCTCCCAAAGAGTGGGTTATGTTACTTCTTTAGGCATAATATTGGTATAATACTTCCTATCATCACAACAGTTGTATGACCCCTTTTAAGGTTGTTTATGATAGAGATCTTCCTACTCTTATCAAATAATACTCTTATCAAATATTGGTACAAAGAAACTTAACTCTCACTAAACTGAAACACAATTTCCTTAAGGCTCAACAACACATGAAGAAGTATGCATACTTGAAGAGAAAACCATAGGAGTTTCAAATTGGTGACATGGTCTTAGTGAAGTTTCAACCATATAAATAACATTTTGTTGCTCTTAGAAAAAAAATCAGAACTTAACTTGCGATACTTTGAACCCTTTCCCATCATTAAAAGGATAGGCCAAGTTGCTTACAAGTTACTTTTGCCACAAAACACTAAAATTCATCTAGTGTTCCACTTCTCTAAGCTAAAACCATGTAAAGGAGAATATTCTCATTCATACATATCATTATCGATCACCAGTTTGAACTCATCACCTATAATTCAACCTATCACTATTTTGCAGTCTAGGGTGATATTGAGGGGTACCATTTAGGTTCAATAACATCTAGTACAATGGGAAAGATCATATATATCTCAGACCACGTGGGAGGATCATGATCTTTTGACTAAAACATACTTGAATCTCAACTTTATGAATAAGGTTGCTTTTAATGAGAGTAAAAATGTAATAAATAAAAAAAGATAAGAGTGAAAAATGTCGAAATAATGGGGCAAAGAAGTCAATGAATGAAATAAACTAATAGGACCACGTAGAGGTTAAACCTCACAATCATGAAAAGAGGAGGAGTGTGAGAAATTACATACCTAATTCTAAGCTAAAAAATTTTGATTGGTGAAAAACTTAGTATATAACCACGTAAAAAGAATACACATTTATTTCATTCCTATTTTTTAGATTGTGTTGCTCCTTATTACATATTCTTAAATAAACAATTAAAAAAAAATCAAAGAAAACATAAAATATAATATTAAAACCTTTTCAATTTAACCTAATAAAACAAAAAAAATCAGAAAGTCCTTTTATAATCTCCCCTTGAACTTGCAACAAAGACTCAAGTTTCTATCTTTGATTTAAGGATGAAGTAAACCCATTTAACAGCTGAAAATGGAATGCAATAATAGAGTGACAAGAAGAGATATACTGAAAACTTAAAAGCACGAGTTAAATTCAAACTTACCAGCTTCTTTTAATTCCTCCCATTCCAATTGCTTCATAATTTTGCTGAATTTGGAGCTGGTTAAGCTTCAATCTGCAGCAATGAATTGAATTTTGGAGACAAGGATATACAGGGTTCAAGATATGTGTGGTGCTTATTATGGACTTTGAAACCTCCTTTAATAACAATAAAAACTCTACAAATACAAAACTATCAAAATGGTCATTTTCAGTCTTGGGAAAACAAAACTATAATCTCTTTCAATGGGAAGAGGAATACAAATATATCATTGGATTATCATAATATTTTAAACTCTTTGTGGGTTTTTTCTGGTGAGAAATAATTAATAAAATGTGATGTTGCCTTGTTAAAACCGAACTTGGTGCCAATAATGAGGAAAGTTCATCATATTCTGATTCTTAATTTAGATAGGAATTGAATATTAAAGTAGGTTTTTGGATATATGTTGTTGATTGTTTCTGCAATGTCTCCTCCAATATTATGTACACATTCATTTGTTTATTTTCCTTTTAAATTTATTCATAATTTTATAACAAAAATTATATGCAGAAGCAATTTGAAATGTTGAATTCCACAGTAAATGTTATGGTCTGTTTGTCATTGATGATGACACACCGGCTAGTTGATTTGACAATTTTTTTTATTAGATTTTCTTTCTTCCCTCCAAATAAAATGTGAATGTCTTGTATTATATTTCTTGTAACTTGTTTTTTTTTTTAAAAAAAACTTTTTGATATTTTTGGATTATCAAGTAATATGAAGGTAATTTTAAAGATTTTTTTTATATATACTCTCAAATAACCATTTTGAATATTATTTATATTTCAGAATGATTATTTAGAAGTCTATCATAATCTATATAAATATATTTTGGAATATAAATAAAAATTGAATAAGAGTGTGTAGTTAACAAAGAGTGTAGAATGACCATTATTGGGCCACGAGCAAGAAGCTAGGCCCAGTCCTCATTGGACCACATGTGAAACGCCATAGTGAAATAATTTATAATTGCATCCTCTCATTTTAAGAAAAACAACCTTCACTTTATCCAAAAGAAAGTGAAATAATTTTAAAAACATGCACACTCGATTTTATTTTATTTTCAAAAGAATTGTGTAAATCAAGTTTGATACATGCCTTGGTGTATATTGATGTAACAAATAACCTTAAAAATATATAATATTCATCAAATAAAAAAAGCTGTCCTTGCTGAATAAAACATGACAAGTCTACTTTTAAAGAATTTTCATGAATCTTTTCTTAAAATTAAAATAGTTGATGTTTTAAGGTGATTCCCACTGATCCAACATAAATCTAAACACACATAAAAAGTTGCAAACTCGGAATATGCTTCATAAAGAGAAAGTTGCAGTGATTTTAATAATCCCAGAACTCAGCCCTCTTGACCTTTGAAATGCTCTGAAGAACTTCCACTGGAGAAATGAATCCCATCACTGTCACCCTCTTCGACTCCACTTCTACACTGAATGATGTAACTCCTGACATGGTATTTTACATGTTGAAAAACACGTCACCATATATACTATCATTTCTACTTTATGTATATGAATTTCAGATTATGAAATATATATAATATGATTACACATTATTTACCTTCCATCTTAGAGAGATGTTTCTTCACTTTACCAGCGCATCCTTCACAGTGGATAGCAACTCGCATCACGACCACCTGCATAATTCTTAGATGAATAAGAGGGAAAAGAAGATAAAAATACTGTATAACTGTATAAATAAAAATTGCTGTAGAACACATGCATTTATGCAGAGTTCAGTTGTTGCACAAAGTGTATAACTGGTGGAGTCTTAATCAAGTAATGTATTTGATCTCAGAGCTAATTAGTGAAGTGGGGGAGGGAAAGTCTCCTTTTTTATCATGAGGGCAGCTGTGGCAGAGAAGGAAACAACTCTGACATGTACAACAAAAAACTGGAAACTCATTTCCATTTGGTTTATGCTTTACATGGTATTCTTCTGTCTTTTATTTTGGACTCTGTTTTTCTAATTGTTTCATTCATCATCAATTTGACAGAGACATGTAACTTTCTCAATTTCACAGCAGCCACTTACTGTTTTGAGAATTTGAACTGCTACAAAAGAATTAACATAAGTATTTTAAATTAAATATAAAAGGATTACATCATCACATCTTTTTTTTTTTTCAAATTTTATCAAAGGGAATCATCATTTGCATGGAAAAACAGAATATACAAGGTTAATTAACTTGCAAAAATATTGTTAAACTGTACAGAAAAAATAAATAAATAAACCGAATTGTGATTGCTTATTCCATTTTCACTTCAGGGTTCCGGTACATGGTTTATCATATATTTTCCATAAAGTAAAAAACTAAATATATTTAGTGTTTTGAAAATATGAAATATATTTAATATTCCTGACGAAAAGACCACTAATTTCTTGTAAGAAGTAGCATCACTGATAAAAAAGAAATTAAGGAAATGTTTCCATGGTAGAATGTAATTTGCATTTCATTTGACATGGTGTGTGGGAAAGTGTAAAGTAATATCTGAGAAACCTGGAAGACATGATCTGTTGGCGTTTTGTGAAGTTGCCTTGAATCATTCTCTTGATCTTGGTTTCTCTGCTGGATGTTTGCTACAGAGAGAGAGTCACATTTGTTGTGAGCTGAATTGAATCTGGTAGTGCCAAAGTCAACAAGTTTGGAGTACTTGGAATAGTTGATCAACCTTGTATCATCCAGAGAAACACTTCTTTCATGCCTCTTACTCCTACTCCTGGGCACAACCACTGACCACACTGCTGTTGATGCCTCAGACTGGCACATGAAACCATTCCTCATAATCTTACTGTGTTTCAGGCTCATCACAATGAAAATATTTTGAGGGGGAAGAGGACTGTGTTTATCCACCTTATGTTTAGAGATATAGTTTTGTAACGCTGATGGTTTTCAAAGTGGGAGAAACTAGAAAGTGACTATAGAATAGAAGAGACGTGCTGTCATTATGATGTAGCTAACAAATAACAATGAGTTCACTGGCAGAGTGGAATCTTTTTGTCATTTTATGCATTATGCATGTGTCTATAATGATCTTTAAAGAGTCCAAAATCCTGTCATTTTCAGCTGTTAATGCTGAGAAATTGACTCTAACCCTTTTTACTATAATGGAATGAAACGACACGTAGTAGAAAATCACATTAAGACAAGGATTTCTTGTTTTATTTTTTCAATACAAAACTTGGGATGAGAGTTGATCTCTGTGTGGATATTAAAACTAGAAAACCCTATTTTTATCCTCCACTCCTTATTTTTATTCTACAATGAGTGATGAGAGAAAGAAAGATACAAAGGAGCACCTCGTCCATATCCTCCACAAAAAATGAGGTAAGCTGCAGAAGTAGGGCACCCTTTGTTACAAGGGTAGTGGATATGGGCATTAGGCAGCAGCACATAAAAAGTGGAAAAGCTGAAAATGTAGTTGGACAGCTATGCATCAAAGTACTTAGTTGATGCACAAACATGGCTAAAATTAGTGAAGATATGTTACAAATGCTGAGTATTTCTCTTGCTATGTTTTGCAATAAACTAAACAATATAACCCGTTTTCTAATCTATTCCTTGTAATACACTTTAACACTTATGTAGCATTGCATGCAGTTTACAGTTAGAAGATAAAAATATTATTAGCAAGGCATGTAGTTTCAAGTGATGCATAGCACCAAAATTTAGAAGAATCAAACTACTTTATGTAAGGATTAGAAGATGATGGTAAGAAGCAGACATGACTGATCGAAACTTCCTAAATGATGATTGCATGAGTTGTATATGCACACACATATATGCACACACTGCTTTGTCTGAGGGATGGCATGTGACATTATTTAAGTGGGTTCAGTCTTTAATTCCATCCTCTGTTCCATGCTGCATAAAGCAGCAAAGTATGACATCCAACCATGGACCACCACCACCACTAAGTGTAGAGTACTTCTTCTGCAACTTCTACAAATCTTAGCAGTAACTCATCACTCCAACCCTTCCATTGTTGCAGGTAGCATAACCATTCAAAAGTACAAACCTTTGTTTTTATATTTATAGGCTACTTTTAACAATGGTTAATCTTAATCTGCATTGCATAATTATACCATAAATGATTATTTTTAACCATTGAAACTTATTCTAGTTAGTCTCAAAGATTCTATTGTTGGATGCAAAATAAGGATTTTATTCTCTACTCTTTTAATCAAGTATTTTTATCATTTTTTCTTTTTAGATATGCATTGCATACATTACTTTCCAACTAAAAACAATATTTGGCTTGCTTTGGTAATTTATCATTTCATTATTATTATTATTATTATTTGACAAATTTTATTATTCAGTTTTTTAATGTATTTTATAATCATTTTTTTATTTTTTATATATATTTTTTATTTGTTAAATTACTAACAGAACGATCACGTTTATTACAAAAACTAAAAGAATGAAAGGAGTTCATAATAAAACTTAATAACAAAATAATACCTTTGTCTTTTATCATGATTGAAAATTGTGATGAATAAGCTAAGTTTACGAAAATGTAAAACTTTAATATTAAAAAAAATACAGTAAAAAATATGAAAGAACAATCATTAATTAAACCAAAATGTTTCCCAACAATTTCTAACTATTCTCTTTTCACTTTATCTGATTTAAATATTTTATTTTTTATCAATTTCTATTTAAAACTAATCTTATACAACAACTTAAATTACTCCTTATAAATCTAAAATATAATTTATACTTTCAAAAAATATTTATTTATTATAAATTTAGTTATAAACTAAATTTAAATTAAAATATAATTTATATTTTCTATTATAAATTTTAAATTCATTTTATTTATATATTTAAAGATGTCTATTTATTTTATTTTAATTAAAAAACTTTACTTTTTGAGATTAACCTATCATATCAATGTCTCATTCATTCAAGGACATAATGTAGTGATTTCCTCTTGTTTAATCAATACCAAGCATGCTTTTTTTCAAAAGCTGTGATGTTGGTGAAGCTTGGCCAGTAAGGTAGGGTGTCTTTTACAATTATTGAAGTCGATGCTCAATTGTAAGTAAGTTATGCGATGTGGACAAGAAATATACACAAATTTTTAGTTTTTGGTTTAAAGATATTATGTTTGGATTGTGGAGTAGATTTGAGAGGGTGGAAAATGAGAGTAAGAGAATAGAAAATGGGATTGTGAAAGTATATTGTGTGTTGACCCGTGTTACTTGATCCTTGGAGTTCTTTAGACTCTGGTAAGATCAAGATGTATGATTGAGAAAAAAGTCACACGACATGCACGATGAATAAATCCATTTTTTAGCAACTACTAACGAAGGAAAAGAGAGAGAATGCATCCTTAAACAAGATTACCAAGCTTTCTCATTTGTTATTAAACATTGGTCCTGCTGTGACTATGAGTTTAGATAGGAAGAATATCATCAAAGTGGAAGAATGAGTTCCTGATATTAATGCACTACAAAGATGTCATATATTACAGGTTTAGTTCTTAAGGAAATGCTCTTATAACTAGAAGTAGTGTAGTGAAGATTCAGATTTTCCACTTTGCTTTATTTTATGCAGAGATTCATAAAACTGACAAAAGTAGATAGCATTAGTTTTGCTCCTGATAGTTAAGGTATTTAAGTCTCTGTGAGGCTTCAATGATGGAATCTCTCTGGCCGAAAGCACTAATTCTTATGTAGCCTTCCCCACCTGGTCCAAAACCACAACCCGGGACAGTAATAATGTGAGTCTTCTCAAGAATTTCAGCAAAAACATTCCAAGATTTCGAGCCAGGGAAATGGACCCAAACATAGGGTGCATTTTTACCACCATAAACTGTCAGACCAAGAGAAGTCAAAGCATCAACCAGCATCCTTGCATTCTCCATGTAGTAGTCGATAAGGGACTGTATGGCCTGAAATTTCCACAATCACTCCAATGGAAGAACAGTTCCAAACAGATCATGGTAGTCAAGAAGCACAATTTGAAATAACTCTAGGAACTGGAATTTAAATGAAACACAATAATAGCTATACATGTTCTTAGGAACAAGAATTTACCCTTAAACCTTCTGGGGAAAGACATGCTAATCCACCAGCTTGAGCTATACTGGATGCTCCATTAAAGCATGTACACATTATACGGTTGAAATCATGCATAACAGGGAAGCCATCTGAATACAATAGTTCTTCAGGGACCACTGTCCAACCAAGGCGAACACCTGTGAAGCCAGCAAATTTCGAGAAGGATGAAACTTCAATTGCAACCTGAAAGCATAAGAAGGAAAAAAAGAGGTTAAGCTTCCCCTTACGGAAAATAGATAGTACAAGCTAGAATAAAAACAAAACATGTCATGCAAAAATAAAGTTGCCTATATCAGTAGGAAAAAGATATACTAGCTTCGTTTCCCCTCATAAGAAGCCACAAATGATTATTGACAGAAAAGTAAAAAAATAAAAACTAGCTGAAAGGAGGTTGAATTCTGCTAACAGGTCACAGACTTTCGTTTAGAACACCTAAGAAAAATTGGAGAACTGTTCAGTGTGATAGGGGCTAAAATTGTAAGTAACAATTAAGAAATATAAAGGAGACTGAAAGATGGAACTACATGATTCATATATTGATGCACCAACCATGTGTAAAGATTGAAAGAAAAGGTGTGCAAGATGCTAGTGAAAAAAAAACATAAAACAGAATGGGACTAGTGTAATACCTCTCTGGCTCCAGGAATTTCGTAGATTGATTTAGGACTATCATCTGTAACATATGCTGCATATGCAGAGTCAAAGATAATGATTGATCCATTCACTCTGGCAAAATCCACAAGTTGCTCTAATTGCTTCCTGGTTGCGGCATGACCAGTGGGATTGTTTGGAGAATTGAAGAAAATAAGTTCTGTCCTAGAAATGTTTGTCAGATCAGGAAAGAAGTTACTTTGAGGTCCACATGTCATGTATTCTATGTTTTTATACTTCCCAGCTTGATCTACAAACTTGCCAGCCTGACCAATTATGACACTCGAATCTATATACGCCTGCCTCAAGAAAAAATTGCCATGATTGGAAACACTTCAGTTACATGATACATGCATGCATACAGTCTAAGAGAGAACATTTAAACAAGTTGCACATTTGAGTGGAATGATAGAATAAGTAATATAGACGACTTTATACAATTCAATATAACAAAACAATTAGAAAAATATTGCCAGCAAATACTTAAATGTAGGCCTTGTTTGTTTATTGTTCAAAAAGTTTATTCCAGAGCATTTATACAAAACCGAAGAAGATGAGAATTTCTCAACTGTTTATGTTTTTTGGTTTATGGTAATATTGCTTGGCCTATGGTAATATGCAGATAGTCCACAAAATGCTTGCGAGCTAGTGAAATTGAATAAAAACTTTGATAAATGCATGAAATCCATTGCATGTTAGATAGTTTAGAGGACTGATTCCAAAATAGTTGCTAACTGCTAACACGTAGATAGCTGACCATATTGACTAGACAGATGAATGACACTGTAATTACAGTACCGGAAAGGATGGATCCTGCACAGCTATCTTCAGATTGGGACCCATAAGCAGCTACACACATTGAGACAAATCAAATTCAGCACTTTATATTAATAAAGGAATCTACTTTCCAATGAGGATGAGACATGACCTGAAGACGAGTAATATCACACTGTGCACCATCTGAAACAAAAACCTCCGAAGGTTTAATCCCCAGATCTTTGTAAAATGCAACAGTAATTGCCTTCCTCAAGGCCTGCAATTTCGTTTTGGCAGGATATATACGTTTAATTACTTGAATGACATATATTATAGTGATCTATTATAGACTCAATGTTGATAGCACATAAAAAAAAAAACAAGAACTTTGAATATCGATGCATAAAAAGTAAACGTTTTCTGTTTTATATGAGGATTTCATTGTCGAATCCAAGATACCTTTTCACCTTGCTCTGGTCCATATCCTTTATAGCCTGCTGTTGTTGAAAGGCCATGTACAAACTGCAAATCACCATATGAGTGCAACCAAATCAGGGGTTATTTCTCTTCTAGACCAGTGTTTCTGGTTATTAGCTAGCTATCTCAAGGGTTAACTGAAATACTTTCTCTTCAGATATGCAAGAAGGATTTAAATAACTTATCAAATGCTTTCTTTAATGCCGATATTCCCAAATAAGATACCGATACAATTAACACATATACCAAATTCTGTTAGACGCATTTTATAAATATGCAATCTGCTTGTACTGTATAAATTCCTGGGGCAAGGGGCATGAATTCATGTCACTTCATGAACATACACTCCCATGAAATGAAGTAACTTTAATTCTCAGAGTCACCAAATTTATTACATCCATCATCCTCTGCTAATTCAGCCAAAAGAAGCTTCATAACTTACATCAACCATACTAGATGTTACAATTGTTGGTAAGGGTTGTGTCGTATCACCAACTCCAAGGTCTATTACATTTGCATGTGGATGCATCTTCAAGTGCATCAGCTCTTGTTTTTCAATCTGATGCAATCAGGATAGCAATTAGCCTTTACCACATACATTTGGACTAGTAACCTAAACAAATGTATGAAAGAGTTATTATTATTATTTATTTAGTTTCAGTGTATCATTTGTCACATAACTTTTTTCTTTATTGTATTATTATAATTATTATATTTTCAATCTCTTATTATTTTTCTCAATATATTTAAAGGGAAAATGATGTTTTGATTAAAATTGTTAATACCGGGTATGACTGTATGATAAAAGAAAATTATTCTATGATTTATAAATATACTATATTTTTTTGTTTAATTTAACCGTTTTATGTCAACAGACTAATATACTACTTTTATTTTGATTGAAAATAAATAAATAACTATTAATTCAAAATATAAAAATATTTTAAATAAAAAATAAAAATATATTTAAAATTTTTAAAGTATATTAATAAAATTAATTTTTATTTTTTATATAATTATTTAATATATAAATTAAAAAATATTAAAAACTTATTCTTTATTATTTTTTTAATAATCTCATTATTTAAAATAATAATTCATCTTATATATAAATAAATATATAATATTAATTTATTTAAAAATAATTATTATTTTATAAATAGATTGATTCATAAACCTACCAATTAACTTATCCTAATACATCAAATCAAAATTGATCCAATTCCGTTTAAATTATAATTTTTTTATATTACCTAATTTATTTAAAATCCCATTAAAGACGGAATATAAAACTAAATTTATTTACTCTTTTTAACAATCTCTTCTAAATATATCTATCGATCAATTCTATATACTAATATAATATTAATAAAAAAATAAATTTTATATTTATTATTATTATATTATTAGAAGGTATGCTTGAGAGTTTGTGGGTGTTTAAATCCAAAAATAGGAATTTAAATTAGATATACAAAATTAATTTGCTTGGTATGGTAGCATTTTGCCATATCACTTTACACAATATTTTAAAAAATGGAACGATATATTAATAACATTATTAGAAGTACAATTAATTAAATAAAACTATTACCACACTCTAATACAATAAAATTATTATTATAATAACAATAGTTTAAAACAATAATATAAGAAACATTAAACTAATATCATAATAATAAAAAATTAAAATACCATACCTACATATGTAATAAAATATAATACTAAAATCTAATAATAGAAATTTATATACACTGAATGTTTAAGAAAGTCAAACTATGTTTGGATTAATAAAGAAATGAGACATAATAAAATAAAATTTCGCTCAAATAATATTATGATAGACTAATATAAAATTCTGATTTCACATTTGTCTTAATGTGAAAGAAAGATCAAGATGGAACAATTCCACTTTTTTTATGATATTTTATAATTCCAAACAATAGAATATAGTAGCATTATGTTCCACCAATCCAAACATATTCTCAATAATTTCATTAGCCAAGCAAGATTAACGTTAAACATTATTGGCAAAAGGAAACAAAAGTTCTCAGATATTTTCTTTTCCCTCTTAGGAACGTAAATGGTTTGAAAGAACTTAATCAACAGCACAATGTATTGAACTGGAGGGTAAAACGACATTTGAAACCAGTATTTGGATGAGATAAGCAAGATTAATTCAGGTGATCACAATCATGAAAAGAGAAAAACCGTGGAAAAGCATGCACCTCAGGAAATAAATAACCATGTTGCAGTTTCTGCATGTTTACATTCCTGGGTACCTTTGTGCAGTGTCCTGAACACATGGTAGTCATAAAGATAATAACTCCATAAACTAACATGAAAAATCGAACCAAAGAAACAAGAATTATATATATATATATATATATATAAGCATACCAATTCTCACGTTGTGAGTGTTCAACGTGCATGAGAACCTGTGAATTATCATTTGAATTCATCAAGCAATTAATACGACATAACATAACTAAGGTTGTTAGTTTTTTTGTTACCTTGCAGCTAGCATCCTAGGCTGAAAAACATCAACACTGCAAAATGCTGAGTGGTACATTGCTTTTATTGCTATTCTCCAACCAGAAAGAAACTCCTCCAAGACTATCTCTGGTTTATTTGAGATAATTAGTAACGCAATTGATATATTTATATACATAACAAGCTATTCTTCTATTAAAGAAAGTACGTCCACACTTTCTCAAGTAGATACAAGTGAGAAAGTGAGCTCTTCCATGTCAATATCATTTTTCACATACACCTAATTTATGACAGTTAAATTGAAACATAGTTGCCTCCATATTTTATTTTATATATGTTTTGGTCTCTTCACATGAAAACGATGTGTTGAACTTTCTTAATGATTGATAACTATCAGACTGAGTTGCATATTCAATATAAGAATTAAAACATGTATGTATATATGTGGACTAAAACATTAAGAATGATAACCAACGAATATTTGATAAATAAGACTTTTCATTTTTTATATAAATTTGTTTTCTTTATTATTTTTATTTATTATTATAATAAATTAATATGTATAGTATAATATAAATATTGATATAAATTTTTTATTTATTATAAATTAATTAATTATTTTAATATTTAATGATATTTTATTTTGATATTAAAATATATAAAAAATTATGTAATGTATTTTTTAAGAGAAAAGAGAAAATAGACGATGAAATAAATTTTATTTTAAAAGATTTAAATTCAATTAATAGTATTGAAATGTTAATAATTATTTTATATAATACATTTATTTTTATATGATAATTAATTTTATGAATTAATTTCTCATTTAAAATTTTTCGTTCCGTATATTTTACAAGATGAATATATTGAGAATTCCATAGTTTAAAAATCTCGAAAAAAATTGAATAATTTATTAGTAAAAAAAATCCATAATTCAATAAGATGTTGGATTTGAATGAAATTATATTCTTTGATTGTTCCCTATCCTACGAATCTTTATTATTAGTCTTGATCTAAACACACAATAAAATGTTAATATATTAGAAGAGGAAAGATATGATTTTTAGACTTAATGCTCAAACCAAAAGTTACATATGCAAAATGGGATAAGGACTTGTCATATAAAACTACAGTCTAGGTGGTGACGATGCATAGTATAACCTGAATCTAACTATTATACTGCATGCAAAATGTTATGAGTGGAGTTTAGGTTTGGGTTGAAAAAGACTAATAATAATCACTGTGGAAATTAAGAACAAAAGATGCAAAATAACCACTCATTAGAAAAAATGTTAGTCAATCAGTATCTACACGCAAACCATTCCAAAAATTTAGTAGTGGAAAATATTATCCCACTTTTGACTATCAAATACATTACAACGTATTAATGGAAATAAGTGCACGAGAAACTACATGGAAAATTACTTCTTTCCACATCAAAAATGGGTGATACAAAGCTACGTGGAAAATTTTAGCTACTAAAGTCACATTTCAATTGAAAGAACCATGAACATGACCACTATATTGTTCCATGACTGACCAAATTGATGATACCCATGAACTTCAATTAAAACCCCTCACAAGTGGTTGTTGGTAGACATAAAAGCCATTAAATAAAACCAAAACAAGAGAAAGAATGTAGAATTTTCTTGTTTGTAATTCACAACCTACTAAAAACTAATCATGCAAAACCAATATAAAATTATTGACCTACACATGTTTATTTACTCATTTCGCTAGTTATTGGATATATAATTATTCATTGTGCTAGAATGTGAACTAAATCGATGGGTGGCAAATAACAAAAATTAGTGGGTGAAACATATGCATGCATGTTCAGATCTGCAACTCCTTAAATTTAGAACGAAACAAGTGAATGAAGAAAAAATATGAGAGAATCAAACCATCACTGCTACAGATATGTCTTTCAACGTCGGTTATATAAGACTTTCAACGTCGGTTATACAACCAACGTTGTATCAGGCGACGTTGAAAGTGTATACTAGTCGCTCAAGCGAGTACACTCGTCGCTCAAGCGAAATGGAACCCGAGAGTCCCCTTTGTTTGAAGCTTTCGTCGCTTAAGCGAGTACACTCGTCGCTCAAGCGAGATGGAACCCGAGAGTCCCCTTTGTTTGAAGCTTTCGTCGCTCAAGCGAGTACACTCGTCGCTCAAGCGAGTACGTGTTTACTACGTCGGTTATGGTATGAACCGACGTAGAAAGTCTATTTTTTTTTTAAATGGACGCTTTGTTTATACAGGGTACCCAATGTTTGTATATATACATACCTGCAAATTTGAATACAACCCAGGCAGACAATGTACAAGATATAAACAATTGAATGTGCATCCAAAAATAAAATTGTATCCAAAATTATAGTGTATCCAACTACTTATCTACCAAATACACTAACTACTAATCTAACTAATAAACTAACTAGTAAAGTAACTAAACTAACTACTAAACTAACTACTAAACTAAGTACTAAATTAATAACTAAACTTGTCTACTTCTAACTTTAACAAACTTATCGGCCCATGTGTTTCTAATATCGTCAATGGTCTCTATGGGCAATGCTTCCCTGTCCGAAAATACCTGTTACAAGAAAAAAGATAATTTAACGAGTATCTAATGACACAATACTTGGGTCTTTTATTGAATACTAAATTTAAGCAAACCCGATTCCATGTATCCTCGGTGTTGCTAACAACAATCGACCACATCCAGTGCATAACATAATATCCGCACTCATAAGATCCTGGTTGCCTATTACACTACAAAAAATAATATATTAATTTGACATATAAAATGAATGATATAATACATAAATATAAAATGACTTACATTAACAAAAATCCAATCTGGAGTCGTGCTTTTGCTTGTGTGTACTCCATCAATTGTATTGCAAACCTTAAATGCATCGTGCAATACAAGATATAATGAAACAATTAAGTAACAAAACAATTAATAATTGTTTAAATTATTATAAGAATGTGTACCTGTTTACAATGTTTTTAAGATCTGCATCAGGTTTCTTGCCCGATGAGCGAGAACCAAGCCACAACATTACGCTTTGGGCAAACAACCAACAACTGCCAATGATTTACGCTTACATTACAAAAAGTTAGGATAATACAATACACTATAAAATTTAATGCGAATAATTTCATACGCTTAAATACTTACTGATGGTGGTAAGCACCCAAGTAAACTTTCTTCCTTGACTTCATCATCCAATTTTGGATGTATATTTGAACTTCTTCTCTCTTGTTTCCTGATTTTTGTATGGATTGGGGCTCAAAAAATCCATACACATCTTGGAGTGCGTTGTTCCTCAGACAATTCATTCATCATCCTAAAGTAGCCAGTTCAATGTACATTAAATATGACGATAACTTCAAATAACATAATTAGTAAATAAAAATAAATACTTACATTGTCCAAAATTGTAACACTTGCTATGTTTAGACACTGATTGCCAACTACTATCTCCACAGCGTCGGTGTGGTCAATGTAAAGGGAAAGTTCTTATTGTCTACCCCTAACTTATCAACATCCCACTTCACTTGAAAAGATTGAATATACAACTGTGGGACAACAGATAGTAGTTGAAAAATTGGATTTTACTGGGACATCTACTTCCTTACCTTTACTAGTATGGGAAGTAGGAACCAGTTTAGGCAACTGGGGTGGCTTCGAACATCCTACATAAAATAACATTGACTTGAGAAATAATAAAAAACAGTACCAAACTACATATGATAATTAACGGAAAGTATATGCAAACCTTTTTCAAAATAGGCCTGATTAGATGTCTAGGTCATGCAATGAAGGTCCGGAGGGCTGTCCCACTGTCATCACCTCGTACGTAGGCACAGGTACAAGAGCATAAGCATCTCGAACCTCTTCAATGACCACTTTGGCCAAGTTAGGTGCTAAAGACACACTATGAATTGTAGAGGCCCCCTCTTCAATTGAACCAACCGCCACCAATCGTGGTTCGAGATCCACCCTCATCAACATAAAATTCACACTTGACTCGATTACACAAAAATAAGACATTAATTATTTAATATGCACATGAATTTTTGTCATTAAGATATCATCCACACATACACGAGTGGTCGGTGTACTGCAACAACAACAACAACCTCCCGATTAGTAGCGGGAAGGTCTTGATCAGCAGTATTTGGCTCAGCACAGACTACCCTTAGTGCTAACTCGTGCGGCGAGATGGAGGAGGAACATCCATAGGTGGGTGGGTAGGTCTGTGTGACACCTATGGATGCTAGACTTGAACCAAATACACGCATCATCTCCTCCTGAACTCGTGCGGTAATGGTTGGTGTCGGCGTCGCTGTCGGCTCTTCAACCATCAGCTGGTCTCGGCTCACTTGTTAGACTCTCCTCCAATCCGGCCATCTCCTGCTGGCTCAATGATGTGGTGTGGGTATGGTCCGATGATGGAGCTCCAAAATATGCTCGAATACCCACACCAGCTCAACAGGCACGAACACGCCCTGGGTGTTCTAGGCGTCCAATAGCAATAGTTAATATATCTTCACGACCACGGGGAATGAATGTTCCCTGTGTATCCTGCTCCTCTAAAGAATCCTACAATTGAGCATTATATATTGTAAAAAAAAAGTGATGAATGACAAAGCATGGTTAATGAGGTTGAAAGAAACTAATTTGACTTACAATCCGCTCAGCAATCAAGCGGGCCTCCTCCGATGTCATTTCACCGGAGGGCTTTTGCAGAGCCCTCTTCCATTTTTCATGACATTTTGGAGGAGATGGTGGGGAAATTTCTTCCTGGCTTACACCGGAAGAGGCTAACTCGGCTTCTCGGAGTTTAGCCTTCTCCTTCATCATGCGTTGCGTCAACAAATCATACCCCCACGAGACAGACGGTGGGGGCCACATTCAGACCTCCGAATCTCCTTTCCTTTTATTCGCTTCTCCTGCAACATAATATCATATTACAATGTGCTAAATTAATAAGACAATATGGAAACATACCAAAGTTTTTAAATAGTAACATACCTCCCATTGTGGACCAGTCCTACTCCGACAAG